CCATTTTCCCAATTGGGGGGGAATTTTCCCAAATTTTTTTCCTTGCCCAAAACAAATTTTATTTCAAACCCCCCAAACCTTGGGTTTTTTAATTCCCTTTTTTTTTCCCCTTTTAAAAACCCCCATCAAAAAAAACCCCCCAAAAACTAATCCCCATTTCCCGCCCCCCCCGGCCCCGGAAAACCCCCCAAGGTTTTCAAAAACCCCCCCCCCCCCCCCCAAGCTCCTCACTAACATTTTTCCCTCGCCCCCCCCAGGCAAAACCACCCTCTCAACCCTCCTCACCACCTCCCTCAACTCCCTCCTCCCCCAAACAACAACCTTCCTCCCCCTAGACGGCTACCACCACCCCCGCTCCACCCTCGACACCTTCCCCGACCCAGCCCGCGCCCATAAATACCGCGGCTCAGAACCAACCTTCAACGGCCCCGCCTTCCTCTCCCTCGTCCAATCCCTCGCCGAACCCATCACCCCCTCCACATCCCCCATCTACGCCCCCAGCTTCGACCACGCCCTCAAAGACCCGGTCGAGAACGCCATCGAAATCCTACCGACGCACAGGATAGTGGTTATCGAGGGGAATTGTAGGCCCCCCGTCCATTTTCCCTCACACCCGCCCCCCTTTCCTTGCTTAAAATGCTGATGATCAAATGGATAAAAAAGATATCATGCTCAACAAACCACCCTGGTCATCCATCCCGCCGTTACTGGACATCAAGATCTTCATCTCCGCGCCCGAGCCGATTTTGCGGCAAAGGCTGGCAAGGAGACATTTGGCTGCTGGGTTAGTCGACAGTGTGGAAAAGGGGGAGGAGAGGGCCGATTTTAACGATGTACCCAACGGTAGGCAGATCATTGAGAATCTGGTTCTCTATCAGGGGGACGTAATTCAGATCGGGAGCGCGGATGATGTGACGTGGGGACCTGTCTCCTCGTCGTCAATGTAGATATCAAACTTGAAATGAAGGACATTGTGACCACACAGTCACTCAGTCTTGCTGAATTCTAACATTCACAGTCAGTCACTTCAATTCTTCACTTCAGAGTCAGAATGGGCATCGCTATAATTCAGAACGAACAATCATCTTCATCTGTCTCAATCGAGTGCCTCTGCAGACCCTAAAGCAAGAACACTTACGCAGCCCATGCTGCCAAGTAGTGGTTGATATCCGAACCCAAGATCCCATTGCGGATAAGCAAACTCCTCCAGACTCCAGACGCCTTCTCGAAACAACTAGCAAATCCCTTCACAACGCTTTCCGCCGCGCTCTTAGTCTTACGAATATACTCCCATGAAAATCTTCTGTGCTACTCCAAATAGCACCGATATTAATCATATGTCAGCTCCATCTCCTCTATCCCAAGGTGGGAACCGTGCCAATTCACTTGGGAAGGTGAAAATTAAAGCGGCCTGCGGTCGGCGGCGCGGCTCTGCTGGCATGACGGGACGCTCCAAGGCCGCGCAATGTCGACGCACTGGATGATCTACGCGTGTTTGCGGGCGGTGGTGTAGCCGTTGCAGGCACGAATGCGCGAGCAGTCGGTGTGAACGTCCGCGCGGCCGCGTTCAACGGCGGAGTTGGCTCTTCGATGGGGATCAGTTGTGATCCCTGCTCGAACGCGTCTTTACGCACGGTAGAGCACGAGGTCGCTCGTGACCCTGCCGGTGACTCAAGAGTGAGCCGTGACATTCGGCGGTCAAGATCGCCCACCTGGGTGTCACTGCCCAAATCGCGGGCAGACGGCTGCAAAGTCGCAAGCGCTCCGGCACGGTCCCCAACAGCACGCGAACCCGGAAAGAAAAAGTCCTCCAGGTTCTCAGCCTCGTCAATCCTGGTCTCAGGGTCAAGCTGAGCGAGGTCGTGGAAATAGCTACCCTCCTTCCAGCGCTTTTCGTACGGGAATCCCGTGAAAGCATTACTGTTTTGAATGGGGGCATCCATGGTTGAGGACCACCGTGAGGCACCAAGTCCAGCATCGGGTTTTCGATATTCAGCCATGGGCATCACAGGGGCCTGGACTGGCTTCAAGGCGGCAGCTGATGCCTGCGGTGAAATGTTCTCCACGGCCACGGACGACTCCGTTTTGGCGATAGTCATAGGCTGCTTTTGAGTTGTGGCAGCGGATGACTCTGCTTTCCCCAACACCCAGTCCATACCAATGGTGGACTTCCGGATGTACTCCTTCGTGTCAACACCCTCAACAGGAGGAGTGGGGGTCCCATCTTTGCCGTGTGGATACGGGACATCTGCCAACCAGGCCGGGGGTTGGACCTGGGAGTCCTTCATGGCCATCATCTCTTCATTCGTATACTGAAGACGACGGGGCTTGACAAACGCCACTGCAGAGGAGTTGAGATAGTCCTCTATCTGTGCGACTACCTCTCGTCGCTCGGACTTGGTGTGGTCCTGGCAGACCACATCGATGAATGCTTCGCGGATACCTTCAACAGTTGCGGTAATCTCCCGCTTGGTCTTCCCGCCAGCCTTCTTCCTGAGAAAAGCCGTGAGCATGTTTCGGAGCATGGCAACTGCATCAGGGACTGATAGCCTGACTGGTTCACGTGTCAAAGCATCATTCTCTACCGGCGTGCTGGTTCTGCTGATGTGGTGGCCGAGTGAAGCCACAGCAGGCGCCACCTCCAAGGCATCTTCGTTGCCGTATGGCTCCAAGGTCGAGAGCAGTGCCGATGCCTCCGAACTTCCACGTTTTAGGACCGGACTGGTGTCCTTCCCCTCGACATTGATAAGGACACCTTGTGTCGCTTTGAGCTCCGACTCGTCATCGTGTTGGCGCGTGCCGCTGGCTTCACCCGTGATGAACCGAGAAGCGTACTGCACCGCCCTGTTATTGGACATGCTAGCCTGTGGCTTGACCGGTGGTAAACGAATCACAGTAGTGTTTTCGTTCGCGGGAGCAGCGTTTGCTGGAGTAGCCGGCGGCTGAGGTGCAATCGATGGCTTGGGAGCAACCGATGGCTCTGGGGCAGGCTTCTGCCCGGAGGTTTCAAAAGCCCCCACGGCATATTTGCCAGCTTTGAGGTCTCTCAAAACTTTGAGGAAACTCTCAAGCTCACCAGCGGTACTAAAAGTCAGGCCGAAATACAGAACGTTCTGTCCAAAATGAAGAGAGAGGGTCAGGTCGCTTGAGACAAAGTCCTGATATTCGGCAATGGTGAACTGAACGAATAGTTTGTTTTCGGCAAACATCATGCAGAAGCCCAGTGTGGGAGCTGGAGCCACTGTCAAGAAGACAATGGCAGGCAACGGCTGATTTCTTCCAGGTGGGTTGAGGAGAACCTTTGCCCGAGCGACCATGTGGGGAGGGTTGGCGACATGTTGGTTCCCACCATATTGGGATGGCGGGACTGGGACGTCTCTAGGAGCTTGCTGCACAATCCTGGAGGGGCCTGGGAGCGGGCTCAAAACCGGTTGGCGAAGGGGAGCAGACTCTGACGGCTGCCGGAGGTGGACAGACGCTGATGGGAGCCGGGATGGACCGGCATTTCTGGAGCTGGACATCTTCTGTTTGCGGTTGCGGTTGCTTACGAACGGGGACCCGCTCTTGACCATTTGCTGAACGTGCGCAAACGAGTGATGTGGCTCCTGGGCCGGAGGCATCTGACTTCGGGTCGCATAGGGATGAAGGTTACTATACAGTATGGTTAGCACTAGGGCTTCTTCTTGACCCAACAACTGGCAAAATGTGACCCACTTGCGGCTCTGGCTCTCCTGATATTTCAGCAAAACCGTCGCCTTTCTCTTGGCCTCTGCCTTCAGCTCGTGAAGGCGAGGACCTCCAAGATCAGCAAGCCCTTTGACCGCGGCAGCGTCATCATCCTCGAAGACGCCGGACGCAATGGCATCTGGCGAAATGTCAGCATCTACCATTCTATCAACTTTGGATGAGAGATCATACCCTGCCAAACATTCGACATCTTCGCGCCCCTCGCTACGAGCGCATCATTCTGGATTTGGGGCCGACGAATATACTCTTGTCTGGGCTCGCGGTCGCCCCGGTCACCCCGACCATGTCGGCCATTCTTTCCGCCTCCCTTCTTTTTATTCATGGCCGCCAACTCGCCGTCATCGACGGGAAGTTCGTCCAGGCGGCCGATTCCCAAATCCGCCTGCAGATAACTAGTTAGCAGTATGTCGCATGACAATAGGAGCAGAGAACTTCACCATCATGGCCTGCTGGATAGCGGCCTCCTCCGCCAGCTCCTCTGAGGTCTTCTTGTTCTCTTTGTCGATCGACATGATGACTAGATGCCCGTATGATCCTTGAAGGAGTCGTGATATTTGAGCGAACGAGTGACCTAAGCTGGGTCTGTAACGGGTGATGGAGTCGATCCAATCGAAAAGTCGTGCCCTGTCAAGTAGGACAAAACGTTGCTCACGACAACTGATCGATAATAGCGATCTGAAAGATGGTTACAAAGGCAATTGATATGACAAGATCCCGACGGATCGTTTGACTAGACGCTTTGGGTTGAACAGAGGCAGGAGGTTGGCGAAGAGTGGTAGAGATCGAAGAACGAGAGAATGTTGTGGAGAGGTAAGCAGGCAAAGTGGGGAGTGCAAGCTTCTTAGAGGCGGCCACTCGCGAGCTCGGTCAGGCTAGGCAACGAGAGGGTTGGTATGAAGGAAGGTACGCGCGTGCGGTGGGAACAAGGCGAGCAGGGATGGCAGGAGCACTGCTCGTTGAGGGGGGAGGAAGGAAGAGAGCACGGAGAGTAGAGGTTGGTCGGGCACACCTCGAAGGCGGTTTACTTACCGAATGAGCTGCCCACCTCAGAGTGATGGAACAGAGACAACGAATGTATCAAACTCGTTTTCTGCGTGTAGCAGAGTCGTCGGTATTGGTTTCTTGGAGCAAAGCGGAAAAATACCGGGGAGCTGTCGAGTCGATCTGTTAGACGTCTGCAATTATTTTCGACTCTGTCATGTACATACCTTGATGATGGCGACGATGATGGAAACACCACTCGAGGTCGCGATAGATCGTCAATCATGCCTGAGTTCCCTTGGGTGGTGAGGGAGATTGTCGGCCGACGGGGACCTTTGGGTGGTCGTGTTGTCAAGACCACGGAGGCAAGGAAGCCAGGAAGATATCTCCAGCCTGTTGAGGTAACAAGATAAGTTGTCAAGGTACTCGAAGGGGATAAATCGAAAGATGAAGGGTAAGGTGAGCCAGTGGGAAAGCTAAGTAGTGGTGGCGGGAGGCTGTTGAGTTCGCAGTTAGATGTCTTTGTTGTGTTGTGTTTGGTTCAGGAAAAGAAAGCAACGACTGAGGGAGAAGGAAGAGACTTTATACCCTTTGTGGGACCCACGATGCGGTCTGTGGGTGCTCTCAATATGAGCCGCACCATCATGCCGCCGCCGGGTTTTGATTGCGGCCGAGGCTAGGGCTTGGAGGTTGTCGTCGTCGAGATATCTCGGGGGTCGTCGGGGGTCATCGGTGGGGGTCGTCGGCGGGGGTCGACGCGGGGGTTAGACGGCGGGTGTGACAGAGGAGATTACGCAGAGCCGTGGAGGTCATCAATACTTGCTTTCAACTTCAAGTTCTGAGTTGCATACACAGTCACAAGCCACTTTACCTCACCTACCTTGCATTACATTGCCTACGAACAAGCGTTTCCATTAAGCACCAGATTTCGTACCATGGCCGCCATTAACTGGACCTCGGGGTCGGTTTGTAGGGCTTATCTTCATCTTCCAAGAATCTCCCATGTCTTTAAGACTTTGCCATGTAGCTCAGAAGGCTTGGTCACACATGGTCTATGATCAACGAAGTTAGGTGCCCAGTCGGGCAGCTTTGAGTAATTGCCACTGAATCTGGGTTCTTGCGTTATAAAGGTTGTTATCTCCACAGGAGAATCATGGAAGGATATTGCCACCATGTGTTTTTTTGTAAGGAACATATATATATTTTGAACAAATAGCTACATTTTACAAAGGACGCGATCAATTCGTCCATTTTACAGTGTGCTTGTTGACTTGCCCCTATTCTTGGACCTTGATATGGTCCGTGCGGAGGATACCCCTGAATTTGGACTTGCAGCAATTTGGGCCAAGGTATTCCACTTCATTGGGTCACCGCTTGCTTGTCTACTTTTCCCAATCCGTGCCCTCGCGTCACACTCACTCACTGTCTGTCAACCCATTGCACGCTCATATACCACCCAGGGACCCGGGGTGCAATGAGCGTGACTGTTCGGCTGAGGGGCTTTCTTGATCATGAAAACGGGCAACAAGCCATACGTATACCGACTCACCTCCCTCTTCAATCACAACTCTTAGAACAACGGTAACGGAGACAACTATTCCGATGGCTGTGATAATGTAAACACTGTCTACATCTAGGACTACGCCGGCCAGTATCCGATGAGAGCAACAAGGCTTCTAGTTATATGAAATTGGGCGACGGAGAGCTGTCTAGGAGGAAGACAATCTTACCTGTCTTGTGATGACAGTTCCAATTCAAGATGATGTGGCAAATAAGTCAAGACCACCCGTGGGAGACGTGCAGATTCTAGACAGTGGTGTCTCCTCCACTGGGCTACTTACTCGCGCCAGGTTTACACCGTTTGAAGGTTTATGTGTGTTCTTTCAACACCTGATTTGGACTTCAACAGCGTAACCGGAGAAGCGAGCAAGGGAAGTAAGTGTACGGGCATGCTGCATGTGGAATATGGAAGTTGAATCCAATATCTTCAAATGGAGGATACAGCGGTGACGTTTCGGCAGGTAGCAACAACAACATCAATTCAACACATCATAATATTCTGTCAAAGTCTAGTAGTGTAAGTTCAAATTATTTTATATTCAGCGGCGACAGCCATCATGCCCACCACCATGCCCTCATAACCATTATGCAGTAAATATCGCTAAAATCAAATCCCATCATTCTCTCATTTACTTTGACCGAGCATCCTTGGGAGGCTCACTCAGACCATCCTTGCCCTGACGACCAATTCCGCTCATATCAATATCCTCCGAAGCCTTGGTCGCAGGCTCCCTCAGTCCAGCTGTGGAACCGAGACCGGTTGAAACATCGCTCGAAAAACGACCACTGCCGACGTTGGTCTTGCTAGCGTCGGCGGACTGCCAGTCGGAGGCCTTGGGGGGCATTTGCGGGAGGGGGAGGTTCTGGCGGACCTCTTCGATCTTGTCGGCCTTGGATTGAGTCATGTTGGTTGTGTTTGTGTGTGGTTTCTGATAGGGGTCAGCACATCTGCTTCAAACTCTTGAGAGTTCAAGGAGCTTACTTGATGTGGTGATTGTTGTCGTGAGACAAAGTCTTTTGAGTTGGTGCTTATTTTGAATTGCTTGATTGATTGATTGGTCTGGTGAACTGATTGGGAAGAACAGAATTGAAAACAGGAGACCTCTAAATATCTCGACTGGAGTGTGCTTTGGCGGAATATGAAGCTGGAGGACATCACAAATGACGTCAATTACATCACAGACCCCAGAGAGCCCAGCGAGGCTCCTGTCACCAGCCCCTGCAGCCCCGCCCTAGGGTAGCGGGTGGGGTCTCAAGTGCCGATCTGCCCCAGCCGACTGGCTGGTGGCGCCAATGTCTTGGCTCTATGTTCAACGACATCTTTCGATTGTTGGAGCTTTGGGAGCGGATGGAAGTTTCCACAGATGATCCTGCGGGTTCTGTCTGCGTGGGTGGCTGCTCATCACTTGGCAATGGTCCGACTTCTTCGTCACTTGCCCACATGTCACTTTAAAGCCAAGTTAAGAGCCGTTGGAAAGTGTGATTTGATCGATTTGATCGAGATTTGAGATGCCGATGGCTTGTTGAAAGCCTCAAGACTGACTTCAGGCACGCTGAATACATACATACGACGACGACACAATCGGCCAAAAGAAAAAAAAGAAAAAAAAAATCATCGCACAACAAGACAGAAGTAACCTGTGTATATTTCATCCTCCAGACCCCATCGCCTATCAAACCACGCTACTAACATTGTGTATGTTGGTTGGCGGCAGAAATAAGAAGCGTAGACCCTTTCCGATGGAGCCTATCCTAGGCTATAGGCCACTCATGAAGCCGAGACTTGATGAAACCCGATTGATGATTGAGGAACCGCGTAAACCCATCCGTCGAAACCAGAGAAAGAAAAACGATGAACAATTGACTCGATTTCCGTACCGCAGATGACCACCCCCCAAAACGCCGTGTCCTTGTCATGCGCATCCGGCGCGTGTCGCAAAAATTATAAGAATGGGAAAATCAAAAAGAAAACAATCGAAGAGCGTAACTGCATAACTTGCATAACCGTAACTCGTGTCGTTTGATGTCGTGTGTAGCGTCTTTTGGGTGAGTTCCGTATGCCTCTCTATGTTGGATAGAGAGTGGAAATTGCTGCTGACCTAATTGGCAGGAGTGGAGGCGTTGAGGAGAGACGAGTGCTAGAAGATGGGAGAAGGCAACTCAAAGTCGGAGATGGAGTCTGTGTCCTCGACTACAGCAGCGACAGCCTTCATCTTCCACTTCTTAGCAGCAGAGGAGGTGATGGGCTCGCAGTCCTCGTCGACAAAGATCTCAAAGTCCAGTTTCTGTTCCTGCTCACCAAGGTCAAAGCCCAACTTCGTCTTGGTCTCGCTCTTGAAAAGAGGGCTGGAGCTGATGCGGCCAGACTTCTTGACGAGTCGGCGACCACGAGGAGTGCCTCTCATGGACATGAGCTTGCGAGACTCGGCATTCCATTCCTCGCACTCTTGAATTTCCTTGCGGTACTCGAGAACCCACTGGCGAGCCATCTCGGCGTGATCGGGCGATCCGTCGTTGTTGACGAAAGATGGGACGTGAATATAATGAGTCGAAGGTCCAGCACGATGAGCCAAAGGCCCAGAGCGGCGGCGGGGAGGCATCGAGAGAGGTTGGGCGTTCTCGTTCTGCTCAGGAAGCTCAACCTTCAAATTGAAACTCGAAGCAGCGTTATTGCGGTGGTTGCGAGGAATGTCGGTGGCAGCCTGGGTTTTTCCAGAGGGCTCAGGCTCTGGGCCTTGCTCTGCAACTTTGTGGGCCTGCTTGGGAGCAAAGTCGTGGGAAGTGGGACGGGCAATTTCGGGCAGGCCAAAAGTCTTGGAGTTGGCCGGAATGGTGAGAAGGTGAGTAATGTCGCCCAGAGGAACACGGGCAGAGTCCTTGTCATCGTCATCGTCGAATTTGTCGTCATCGAGCTTCTTCTCATTGATCTCGTCGTCGTCGGTCCCGGAGGTTTGGGCAGCAGTGCTATTTTCAGCCTCGTCGGTCAGAGAAGCGGGGCCAGCAGTGGTCGTAGCCGGGGCGTCCTCGTCGATAGACGGGGCACCCTCGTCAATCTGCGACTCGGGGTCCAAAACCAGGGGTCGGAGCGGAGACGAGACGTGAGGCTCAAAATAGCCACGACCCAACCGGGAGGTTTGGGCGATCTTAGTGGCCTGCTTTGTCATCGACATCTTTCCTGACGGGTCGGAGGTTGATGGTGAAGTTGGTGAGGTCGGGAGTGTGATGGTGAGTTGTGAGAGGGTTCAAAGACAGCACAAGGAAATTTGATGGCTCAAATATGAAATAAATTGCGGAGATTCCGTCTATCAAGGCTGACAGTGCTCCTGAGCGTTCTGATGAACTGCGCGGGTCTCAATTGCTCGTGAGGCTCCGCGTGAAGCTCGGCGGTGTGGTATTGTGTGAGGGGAGAATGAGAACAATGACGGGGAGGTCCGCGATATTCTCTTGGAGCTGTAGAGCAGGGGTATGGCGACTTGAACACGCACAACGATGCGAGCATAAACATCTCCTAGAACCCCTGTCTGGGCGCCTGAGGAAGCAAAACGAACCCCAAAGACAACCAGGAAAGAGCTGCTTTGTGCCAATTCCTGCAAGTATTGATTATCCTTAAGGTACCTAGAGAGCGATGGCCGATGACTACACAACGTAGACCTTCCTACCACGCGCTATTATATGTAGCAATGGACAGGTATAAGGCACGCAAGGCCTTGTTAGGCATCTTCCTCTTGACGACTCCCTGTCCGTATTCACTTCAGGGCACGGATTCTTCGTATTGTTCATGTCTATTGGGTACCTGTAGGGGCCTTTCGCTCCTTCCATATGTGTCTCCATGGCCAGATATCACCGAAATCGGAATCATCTGAAGTTCAATAATGGGCTGTAAAACTCTTCAACTAGGCAGACGCCTTCACGTCGCTTCCCAGAGGATATTCCTTTTCTTCAACTGCCAGCTTAATGACAACCACGTGCAGAGGACAATAATTACACCGCTAAACGCCCTTAGAGACAAGGAGATGTGGTTTGTCTATGGCATGGGCTGATATAGGGCTTGGGGTTTTGAGATACAAATTGTGAATAAGATAACAGAGACTGATATCTCACAAATAGATCTGAATGATAGTCAATTCTAATAATCTCTTTCTATCACCCGAAATACCTGGAATGGGAAACTGTTCTTCTACAATAGCCCCACAAGATATTCGCTACTTGCTCATAACTTCAACCCCGACTTAATGCAGAAGATCTGATGAATATTGGCCCCACATACCTGGGAGCATTACACTTTTGTTACCTCGTGGAGGTTCTGCCGGGACATATTGTTAGAATAGGGGCAGCATCCAGCAATTTACACAATGGTTCACAGCTTTAAAACAGCCAGTCCCACAATCTATAGGGAATCTGGTAAACTGGCAGAGAAAGAAGACTGTCCGGGCTCTTGCTTTCACAAGGTTTTGGTGGACATATTTCCAAGAGTTTTGCAGTCTCAGAGAGTCTTTGTGCACGCTCTTTGAAGATGGTGTGTGTTGTCGTGGAGCCAAAAAGGGAAGCATTCACTTACACGCATGGGACAGGGGTGCCTGATTGGCCAGCTTTGGGCATCTCTACCCAGCAGCATCTTTACTCTCGGACTCTGCCACCTTGACTTAAGATGTCTGTTCGCGCGTTCATCTGAACCCAGTTTGGAGATAAAGCTCTGCTTGCATCAGCTGTGTAGATAGCCTCACTTTTATGCCTTCTGAAATTCTCAAAATTTGACAGTATTTATTGTTCTATTCACATCATGATGTCCCGCTTCAACCCTAACCCAGATCACCCATGAAGATCCAGGCTGTCCCGGCCGGCACCGGTCACCCGATCCAATTAATGCTGGACATGGCAGGTGCCCGTGCCTCGGCGCGGCCACTTTTAAAAAGTGAAAGAGGCGATGCCCTCAACAATTTCTCTGTGCATTGCGCCAATTCCGATGCCGCCTCCCCAGACGTCCGCCCTTTCCTAGATTTTGCTCTTTTCTCTCTAATGCCTTAATACGATTCTTTTAATATACGAAAACGACGAAATGTTATCCTCGAGAGCCTCTCTCGCCGCCACGAGGCGTCTAGTCCCCACTACGAGTTTCGCTCAACAAGCCGGTTGGACATGTGCCCAGTGTCGCAACTCGATTCCAACACTTCGAAAAGGGGTTCCGAGCCTACTTCGCGCGAATGGCCCGACAACGAGACGATATGGCAGTAAGACTGGTGAAAACGGAGGGCGCCAGGACCATAACTATGGTGGCAGATCGAGAGCCAGGAGGTCAGCTGTGCTGGCCGCAACAGGAGGTGGTGTCGCCGCCGCCGCCGCTACGGTTGGTGGAAGTTTACTTGCCTTCGGGGACGATATCAAGAACTCATATGAAGCGATGGAGAGAACGGGCAGGGTGGCTGCCGCACTGGTACTCTGCATCAACGACTACTACACCACCCTCAGCCGGCGGGATAAGGTGGAGAAGCCAGAAGAGAAGGAAACTCTGCTCAAGGCCTGCCACCAGAGATGTGCCGACAGGACACTAAAGGTTCTAGAGCAGAGTGGTGGCATCTTCATCAAGTTGGGACAGCATCTGGTTTGTGGCACCCCCTTTCGTTCGTCGTTCACTGACCATTCAGGGGCTAACATGACTTTTTCAACAGAGCGCAATGAACTATCTCCTCCCACCCGAATGGACCACGACGTTCATCCCCCTCCAAGATAGATGCCCCGTTTCCTCGTTCGAATCGATCCAAGCCATGTTCAAAGCCGATACTGGACAAGACCTTTTGGATTACTTTTCCGAGTTCTCCCCCGAGCCGATAGGTGCCGCCTCTCTTGCGCAGGTCCATATGGCTACGATCAGGGAAACTGGTCAAAGGGTCGCCGTCAAAGTACAGCACCCATCCCTTAAGAAATGGGCCAAACTCGACATGAACCTCACCTCGTTTACCTTTTCCACATTGAAGCGCTTCTTTCCTGAATATGACCTCGAGTGGCTATCCTCCGAAGTAGAGGTTTCGTTACCGCAAGAACTCAATTTCGAATGCGAAGCTGAGAACTCGAAACGGACAAAGGAGTACTTTGGGAGTCTGTCACAGCCTCTGCCGCTCGTGATCCCGGATGTGCTCTGGGCAAAGAAGCGCATTTTGGTTATGGCATGCGAAACGGGCAAGAGACTGGATGATTTGGACTACATGGACTCGCAAGGGATCGACAGAGACGAGGTATCTGCCACCTTGGCGAGGATATTCAACGAGATGATTTTTGGTGAGGGGGCCCCGCTGCACTGCGATCCTCACGGAGGTAACATCGCCATTCGAAAGAACCACACTAGAAGAAGAGGACCGAACTTTGATATTGTGCTCTATGACCACGGGCTGTATAGAGATATCCCCCAGGATTTGAGGAGGAGCTACGCCAAGATGTGGCTGGCAGTGATTGATGGGGATATGGAAGGGATGAAGAAGTATGTCAACGAGGTGGCGGGCATTGGGGAGGACAAGTTCCCTCTGTTTGCCTCGGCCATCACTGGGAGGGACTTTATGATTGTGAGCGACACCAATGAGGGTGGTGTGATGAAGCCGAAGGAGGCGAGCGAGCAAAAGACCATGAGCACTGCGTTGCAAGAGGGTTTGCTGGCGGACTTGGTGCAGATGTTGGGACAAGTGCCGAGAATTATCCTGTTGATTCTGAAGACGAACGACTTGACGAGGAGTCTGGATGAGAGTTTGCATACAAAGCAGGGGCCGGTCAGACAGTTCCTGATTCTGGCCAGGTATTGCATGCGGACGGTGTTTTACGAGCAGCTGGAAGAGATCAAGAAGAGAGGGAGTCTGTACTGGCCACCAAATGCCATCAGGGTGTTTGCCGCCTGGCTGGGATTCTTGAGGGTAGAGTTGAAGCTTGAGGCGTTTGAACTCTGGTTGAGCGCGAAGCGGTTGCTGGGATACAAGAACTTGGGGTTAGAGGCGGCTGCATGATGCCATAGACGCGCGTGTATATGAGATGCCGCGTTTAGGCAGACTCTCAAGTATTCAGGCAGCCATGTTTGAGCGAGTGAGTGAGTATGTGTGTCTGTCCTTTTCTCATACGATGCTGATCTGGGCTGTGACAAACAGTGACGAGACGAATTGTCTTCAGGACTTTGAATTCATGGCAGATCACCTCGGATTGGACCTCGTAAAAGTCCTGAACCGGGACACCATACCATCCTGAGAACAGGGGTCCGACCAGCCCTATGAGGCGCGTCGCCTCTGCCAAGAGCCCAGGCAGCTACCTCGTGGTTTCAAAGTACCACCACGCCTCGTTGTAACAACACATCATCACCGTAGACATAGTTTTGTACAGGCCTCTTCACCCTCTCCGCTCCCTTTTTCATCATTCAACAGGACATATTTATCCTGCACAGCAACCACCATCGTTCGCCACCACCTACAGACATCTCACCCAACAGTCCCCTCACCGCCAGTCCGTCACCATGCTCTCCTCCATCAAATGGCCCTTCCTCTCCTCCTCCTCCTCCGAGGAAAAGAAACCCACACCCCACCCTCACATCCAACCCCACAAGCCCATCCAAACCAAATACGTCTCCCTCCCCGTCGACATCCCCCCCTCTTTCCTCTCCCTCACCCCCGACCCGGCCCTCGTCCCAGACGCAAAACCAATCACCTTCCACCCCCTAGACTGGACCTCAACCGCCATCCCCGAAAACAAGGGGAAGCTAGCCTTCATCCTCGAAAACGTCCTCTCCCCTTCGGAATGTGGCCAACTGATCGAGTACGCAGAGGAATCAGTACCGCTGGATAGCCCGACCGCCGCCTCTGGCGCAAACAACGGACCCTGGAGCCCGGCGCTGGTGAATATGGGCCCAGGATTCGAACTTTATGAGCCGAGCTACAGGCGGAGCGACAGGATCATTTGGGATACAAAAGAAGTCGCGGACAGGATTTGGGAGCGGTGTTTGAGTGTGGAGGGGTTGAGGAGGGAGATTGAGGTTATACAGGGGCATGAGAGGATCAAGAAGGTGACGGGGCGGGGGGAGTGGCACGGGGATGGGGGGAGGGGGAGGTGGGTGATGAGGAGGATGAATGAGCGGCTTAGGTTTCTGAGGTATGAGAAGGGGGGGTTTTTCCAGCGTGAGTGACACTGATGAAGGTGGAAGGGGAACACGAATGGGTGCTAATGAGGATGACTATAGCGCATTGTGACAGTGCGTATTATGCTTCGATGGATAAGGAGCAGGTTGTCAAGACGTTGCTTACGGTGCATATTTACTTGAACGATTGCAAGGCTACGGCCGAGGACCCGGACAGTACTGAGTTGGTGGGCGGGGCGACGACGCTGTTTAGCTCGGATGAGAAGAGGAGGTACGATGTCGAGTGCAAGGCGGGGAGGGTGTTGGTTTTTCAGCACAGCGCCGTGCTGCACTCGGGGGATGAGGTGAAGCAGGGGGTCAAGTTTAGTGTGAGGAGTGATGTTTTGTATTTCTCCTTTCCCGATGTAGTCTCTTAGGG